CAAACTCAACATCAACCAAAAGCTGATTGTATGATAGAGATCAAGCATGCCTCTACTCTCCAACTTTCTTCACCTATTCTAACACCAACCATCCTCTTAGGGTACATTGAACTTCTCTGCTGGATTCCACAATTCATTACAATGACCTCCAAAAGTCAGAAAAAAGTGTTTTTTTCTAATGCTTTTGGGAGAAAATGTATAGTTGTATGGATGAATGGATATATGGCATCTAAGAAAAAAATAATCTAACAATGAATTAGCTTACATAGTAAAGGGCAGGTTCTTATTGGTTTCAGAAAGTTGAGGTCTGACTTTTACTTGGATGAAAGCTTAATTGGTATGCCAGTTCTACTCAGAGCATCACAGAACACTGCAAGAGCTTGAACAGGAAAACTACATCAATAACTAAAGATTTATAAAAAGCGAGACTTAAAAGGTTAAAATAACAATTGGAATACATTATTTAAGAGAGTTCATTTAAATTCTAAATTAGGTTGCCATTGAGTATCACGGAGTCAATTCTGACTCATAGCAGCCCTATTTAAAACAGAACAAAACACTCCTACCCCATACCCAGAATTGTTATTAGATTTGAGCACATTGTTGCAATTGCTATGTAAATTCATCTTGTTGAAGGTATTCCTCTTTTCTGCTGACTTCTACTTTACTACCAATTATAATGACCTTCTCTAGGGACTGACCCTTTCTAATTCAATGTCCAAAGTAGGGTAAGACAAAGTCTTCAATTCTAAGAAGCATCTGGCTATGTTCTTTCTTCTAGTAATCCATGGTATAGTCAAAAGTCTTCACCAATACTAGAATTCAAAGGCATCAGTTCTTCCCCAGTCTTCTTTATTCATTGTTCAACATTTGCATACATATGAAGCCATTGAAAATACCATTGTTAGGGTCAGGCGCACGTTAATTGTAAAAGTGACGTCATTGTTTCCAACTCTTTAAAGAGATCTTGTGTAGCACATTTGCCCAACACAATACATCTAAAGAAGACTTAATACTGAACAGTGAAGTTATAAATTATTATCACTAAAAAAATGGAATTCGTTACAGCCCATCCCCACATAAAAGAGAGGCTTCCAGGGTCATATGAGGAGTTAAGGTCTGTTAATGAAACTATCATAAGCTACAGAAAAATGACCTTTCTATTTCTGCATTTAAAATGAAGTGAAACCTCATAATACTAAATTGCACTAACAAAAATTCATAAATTCCATTGAATAAAACTGCATGTTTCAAACAATATTTAATCTACATCTGATTTTTAAAATGTGATTGCCACACACACTTTGAACTTATTGTGATAGTATTTAATTTACGTAACAAGGAATATTTAAGTGGATTTTCCTTCTCTGTTTAAAACAAAACAAAAAATTCTATTTTTAAGTATAGACAGCACAAATACACAATGATATTCTCTCTGCCTCCAATTCTTTATAATACCCATAATAATTCCATGGAATACCTTAATAACTATTATTAAATAAGAAAACAATATTATGACATAAACACCTGCTTTTAATAAAACAACATTTAGATAAGTATTTTTAATAAATGCACTTAGCTCTGCCATGTGTAAAAGTACTGGGAAACAGCCACTGGGTGGCTGGTAGGCCCTTCTTCTTATCGTTCAGTTTGTTGTTTTGTTTTGTTTTTTTACAATATTTTTATTGGGGGCTCTTACATCTCTTATCATAGTCCATACATTAATCAAGTGTGTCAAGCGCAATTGCACATATACCACCATCATCAATTTCAAAACATTCTCTTCCCACTTGATCCCCTAATATCAGATCCCCATTTCTTCCCCCTCCCTCCCCCGTCCACCCTCCCTAACGAATCCTTGATAAGTTATAGATTATTTTTCCCATATCCTCCATTGCCCCTCACCCACTTTTCTGTTATTCATCACCCTGGGAGGGGGTTATAGTTTTATCCTTGTGATTGATTCCTATTTTCTCCCCCCACCCTTCTCCAATCCTCCTGGTATCTCTACTCTCCTTGTTGGCCCTGAGGGGTTTATCTATCCTGGATGACTGCTTGTTTATCTTCAAGCCTTTAAGACCTCAGATGCTATATCTTTTGATACCTGGGCACCATCAGCTTTTCTTCACATTTGCTCATGCACCGATTTTGTCTTTAGTGATCATGTTGGGAAGGTGAGCATCACAGAATGCCAGAGTTTTAGAAGTGTTCTTGTGTTAAGGGAGTACTTGAGTTGAGGCTCAATGTCCACCTTCAACCTTAATTATTAACATATACATATGAGTACATAGTTCTATTCCTCTCTCATTCTTAAGGAATAAAATAGAAACATTTTGAATAGAGTCACCCAACTCTAATACAAAATATACTAACATCTAGAAATGGGCGCCAAGCAGTAATCATCTTCTGCCAAAAGATTGATATTCTATCAGCTTGTTAATATGTGCTCTGAATTTCAAAGACATTTCCTTCATGGTTATAAATGTAAAAGACTTCCCCCATCTTTTAGATTAGATGGATTTTATGAGGATCTACTTCTAAAATAAATTTTAAAATATTAATGATGGTTATATGTGTGCATATACATTACATACAAGGGGTAACCCCCACAAAATGGAATTCTTTTCAAAGCAATGTTTTAAAATTTTTTTTTACAAAACTTTATCACCTTCAAAGTACTCTCCATTACAGCTAATACATATTTCTAATCTGCAATTCCATTCTTGGAAACATTTTTCTAACTCATCTATTTGGATGGCTAATGGCACCTCCCTTGTTCTTTTCTTCGCCACATCTACATCATTAAATAGCTCTCCTTTCATTTCCTCTTCATTTACGAAAACAAAAACAAAAAAGTCACCTGGAGCGAGGTCAGGTGAGTGAGATGTGTGGGGCAAGAAAGGCATGCTGTTTTTTTCCCCAATTGGCACACTGAGATGGTTGTGTGAGCAAGTTCATTGTCATGGTGGCAAAACCAGTCCCCCATCTGCCACAAATCAAGCCTTTGTTTGTTGCACACTGTTACACAGTCTCTTTAGAACTTCTAAAAAGAAAGCATGATTAACTGTGACCTGTTGGAAGGAACTCCAAATACACTGGCCCCCTCACATCAAAAACACAAATGAGCATTGTCTTTATCTTTGATTTCACTTGACAAGCTTTTGGGGGATAAAGTGACAATGGCATCTTCCACTGGCTTGATGGATGCTTGTTTTGAGGGTTATAAGAATAGCATCATGTCTTGTCACCAGTAATGACCTTGGGGGGAAAAAGTCTGGGTCACTTCAGAGTTGTTCTTTCAAAGAACAGCATTTTCCCACTTGAAACTCCTTTTCCTGGCCCAAGGCACAAATTTTTCAGCCACCCTTTTCAGTCCCAAATCTTTTTTTTTATTCACATGTACATTTGTTTTTATTAATTTGATGAAGGTTTACAGAACAGATATTCAGTTTCACATATAATAATTCATATACTTTTTATTCCATATCATTCATTATAATCCCCTCAATATACTATCACTTATCCTGCTTCCTCCCTGTGTTTCCTTTGCTCCTTCCTCCTTCTTTGCTAACCCTTGCATCTGTCCTTTTGGTCCTAAACAGTTGATAATTCGAAAGTGTGGCTGCCTCACTAATGTTAGAGATCCCCTTATAGACCTGCCTATTATTTGGATGAAAATTGAGTCAAGAGGTGAGTTAAATTTCACACCTACAGGATGACTAAGATTTATACACTTGAGCATTCCACTAGTCTCTATCCAACCAGGCAGCTTGGTTCTTTTTATAATTTTGACTTTTGTTTTTCTCATACTCATCCAGGAATTTCTAGTGTAAACCTCCCCTACCACCACCACCCCTCGCAACAGTTGGTAGCAGTGTCTGGACATCATCTAATTCTTGTGGTCTGAGGGTTGTAGAGGCTGATGTCTGTGTGGTCCTTTAGTCCATTAGACTAATTATTTCCCTGTGTCTTTTTCACTTTTATCATTAAGAGTTGTATGAGCCCCTAATAAAATTATTATAAATAAATAAATAAAAAATTTTTTTTTAAAAAAGGTCAAAAAACATCAGCTTCTAAAGACTCAGGACTATAGTCCTGGGGCATAGCGGGTCAAATGGGAAAACGTAGTTCACGAAGACAATGCTCTACACCTGAATTTGATGGGTCTTAGAAGCTCATGGCGGACATCTAAGGTGCAGCTATTGATCTCTCCCCATTCAAAGGAAAGAGTAATGATGAAAGTAAAAAGACACAATGAAATAATTAGTCTAATGACTAAAGTCCCAAGTCTTTTGTTAAAATTTACTGAACCGAGCTCCCAGATAGTCCAGATAACGTCCCCATCTCTTCAATGGTTCCTTTTTGGGTCTTCGAGCACAAGTGCATGAATTCTTGTTGACATTTTTGTCTATTGAGGAAGGTGAAAGATATTCAGAACTAGGTTTATCATCAATTGACATTTTGCCTTTTTTGAAATGAGAAGACCACTGGCAC